TATATATACAGTATATAAAAAACTTTTTTTTGTATTTTACCAGTGTGACACAAAAAAGGTTTTAAGTGTTTTCCTACCGCTGTGCCATAGATGGCCAGAGAACCGTTGTCAAGTTGATGGATTCGGTTGCTGATCTGGATGTTTATCCCATTTTTACTCCACTGGATGGTTGGCAGCGGGTCTCCTCGTACCTCACAGTTCAGTATGGCATTACCACCCAGAGGTTCAACTCGGTTGGCGTGAAAGTCCCCGTCAATGATAGGAGGCTCTGTWGAGCACAAGGCTGGGCTAAGTTTGGTGGCAGTAAATGTGAGATGAAAGAGATTGCTTCATGTGAGTATAGTATAGTTTGTAACCTTTAACGTAGACGAAACCCAGAGATTTAATGGTTCCCACACTGTTTTCTGCCACACAGGTGTAGGTTCCAGAATCATCTTTGGTCACTCTCTCGATCACAAGCTCACTGCGACCGCTCATATGATCATAGTGAACTATAGCAGTAAGAAAAAAACTGTCAGTACCACATCCAGTCAWGCCCTCAATCATCTTTCGAGTTTCTTAATCAGTGAAACCTGGGATGTTTTTGTTGTTGAAGGTCCATGTAATTCTGGGTAGTGGGATGCCACTGACACTACAAGCCAGCATCAGCCGCTCTCCCTTGTTGAGGGCGACATCCTCAAGCAGCTCAGTGAAGATGGGGCTGGTGTGAATCAACAGCATCACCGTCCTGCTGTCCTGTCCCACGGAGTTAGTCGCCACACAGGTGTAACCGCCCGCATCATCAGGCTGGTGCAGAGAGAAGCTTGTTAAACAACAAAATAAACTCAGAAACATTACAACATATGGCCCCATTTCTTTCCATACCTGAGCACTGTCGATGATCAGCTCCCCGGACGGGAGAATCGTGTACTCCCCCATGTTTTCACTGAGAAGATTTCCATTTTTTTCCCAGGACAGTTTRGGTTGAGGGATGCCCTCTGCCACACACATCAGCTGGGTATGACTGTTTTCCACAACCACAACCTCCTGATTTCCACCACGTATAGAGGGAGGAACTAAAACAGTAAAAAAAAATGAACAAATAAAAATGATTAAAATACTACAATATTAATTACAACGTAATATTACGACTTTATTCTCATAATATTGACTTTATTCTTGTAATATTACAACTTTAATCTCGAAACAAAACTCGTAGTGTGGCCCTAGTACTTCATCATAGTAATGCACTTTATTGTAATGCACTTTAATGCAATACACTTTATTGTACTGAACTTTAATGCAATGCACGTTTTTGTAATGCACTTTATTGCAATGCACTTTATTGCAATGCACTTTATTGCAATGTACTTTATTGTAATGAACTTAAATGCAATGCACTATGTCATAATGCACTTTATGTTGGGATCAGTCGGGTCTTCCTTTTGCATCTCCAGCTTGTCAAGAATGCTGCAGCTCTGCTCTTAAAAGTAACTCGTAGATTTGAGCATATTTCACTGGTCTTATCCTCCCTTCACTGGCTCTCTGTGCACAACAGAATAGTTTTTAAAACTCTCCTGCTCACCTATAAATGCCAACATGGCCTTGCACCCTCCTATCTCTCTGACCTACTTCAAACTTATGTTCCTTCTCGGGCACTGAGATCTTCTGACCAACTGCTTTTGGTCATCCTGAAAACCARGTGAAGCTCAGTTTGGTGATAACCTGTTGTTTATTCTGGCTGTATGAATAATTTAATTCTAAAACCTACTCTGCACAGTGAGGCCCACGTTTAAGCTGACGGCGCCTGCTGCGTTGGCTGCAGTGCACGTGTATCGTCCAGCATCGCTGTGCTGAAGGAAGGCGATCTGCAGGGATCCTGAGCTGAGAACTCGCTGACGTACAGAGTCACTCAGCAGCTGTGCGTCTTTGTGCCAYGTGATGGACGGGGGAGGGGAGCCCTCAGCGTGGCACTGAAGCGTCACAGAGGAGTCAACTGGCGCCACATAGTCCTGAGTCTCTGAACGGATCACTGGAGGCACTGCAGGACGGAATGTAAACAAAAAGTAAATATATTTTGTGTACTGGCAATAGAATAATTGATCATTATCTGAATGCGCCGCCTACCTTGCACTCTGAGTTTAGTTTTGCCCAGTGCAGTGCCGGCAGAGTTTTGAGCCACACAAATGTACATGCCGGAGTCTGATAACGACGCCTTGGAGATTCGCAGACTTCCATTAGGAAGAATAGTAAAACTTCCACCTGCAGCCAAGCAAAACGCACAGTGACATGACAGATTACTTTAGATTATGGTCTCACATATGAACAGAATTCCTGCCTGTGGTGGGTATGTTGATGCCCTCCTTCTGCCAGGTAATGGTGGGCCTGGGTAGTCCTGTGGCGTTGCAGGGCAGAGTGACGGGGCTGTTGAAGATCACATCCAGAGTGGATGGATGGGGTTGAATCACAGGTGGATCTGAAGAGAGCGATGAGAAAATGGTGACACTGAGAGTCATGTAGCTAATACTATCACGTAAATTTTCTTTGTTTTACTATGAGAGCAGAAATGAAAATCAACATCTATATTTAAATTTTCAGTTGTGGCAAACAGCACAACCTCTCCCGTCATCATGATTTTATGACTGTTATTATATTTTTCCATACCTTGCACTGTAAGCTGCACACGGCGATGGGCGGAGCCTGCAATATTTTTCGCTGTACATGAGTAGCGTCCAGCATGACTCAGCTCCGAGGAAGGGATTTCTATTTGACCTAAAGGGAAGACAAAGAAAAAAGTGATATATTCAACCACACTTACCGAAGTTCAAACATTATTTTGAATAACTTTTTTTAAAACTGACCTGCTGGCAGAATAGTGAACCCCTGTCCCTCACTGGGGAGCTTGAGGCCATCTTTGCTCCAGTGGATTGTGGGTTCTGGGACACCGGTTGCAGAACAAGCAATGACCACCGGGGACAGTCTGGTTACGGCTATCTCTGTGGCTTCATCTGCTATAGAAGGAGGAACTACAGGGGAAGGTACAGTGAGAACAATTACTGTAGATGATGGGACAGAAATATTTTATCTTGCCATTAATTAATCAAATATTGGATAGCACCAGTCGCGTTGAGAAGGATAACCCATAAACAAATGTGTTTCTCACCGATGACGGTAAAATAGATGGATCTGGAGTCGTTCCCTGCCTCATTRGAGACCACACATTTGTACTCTGCCGTGTCCTCCACTGTAGGAGCTATAACCACCAAGGAGCCTGATGAGAGCAACCTAAAATTGATTAAAAAAGGTTAAGATTTAAAAGGAAATACCTCAAATATTAATTAATTAACGTAGGCTAAAATGTGTTATAAACTCCAATTTAGTTTTTTTGGTTTTTTTAGAAACAGTGTTGCTGGTTTTGTTAATTAAGGTGTGAGAAAACCTGAATCAACCTGTACATATTCTGATTCTGGTCAGTACTGATGGATCGACCATTTTTCTGCCAGCTGACAGTGGGTTTGGGAATGCCGGTGGCCTCACAAGGTAACGTGGTCTGCACGTTGACAACAGCCGTCACGTTGGTACGACTGTCAGAGAYTGAAGGTGGGACTAGAAGGTGAGAGAAAACAGATGCAGTGGTATTTTAGAACTACACTTTTTTTAAATCAAACTCAGTTTGTACATCTTTACCACCCACCATATACTTGCAGATCCACTTTTTTGCGTTGAGTACCRGCACGATTTGTTGCCATACACAGGTAGCGTCCAGTGTCGGTCACCTGAGCTGAGTGGATGTGCAAAGACCCGTCTTCTGTAAATCTGTACCTGCAGATGTTCAGAAAGATATAGAACAATTAATCTGTTATGATAAAAATGTTGTTCCTGTTTGTAGTTTCCTCCGTACATTTTAAGTCAAACTATTTCTGTATTTTTTGTGATACTTTAACCATTTRTACATCAACGTATTTGGCTCAGTTGAAATATATCTTTGAGCTTTTGTAACTTTTACAAATATAAAAACATTTACCTTTATTTACATATTTCCCCATATAAATTCTTTGAGATGATTTAGTTCTTTAAAATAATTTTTCTTTGAAATTTACTTCAAAATACTTGAACTGTTCTTGTCTGTGCTATTTATTTTTAGCTTTTAGCTATGGTTTAGCCAATGTTAACATTCAGATACAGTTTTTCTGCATTTAAAGGAACAGTGTATAACATTTAAGCATATCTTTTAGTACAATTTAAGATACTCACTAATAAAAATAATTAAAAATTAATTCACTGGATTATTTGTATCTTAGAACAGGTTGTTTATATCTACATGGGTGCAAGTTGATACCAGCTGAGGCCACCATTTTGCACCACCATGTTTCTAGAATAGCTCCAAAAGGACGAACAAAAGACTAGTGAAATCAAAAACCGTTTGTGTTGTAATAAYAGCTATGATAATCTTGCATATTACATTTCCTAAATTTTCAATAAAATTTGTCTTACCACTTGAAATAACGCTATTTCTAAAGCTGCTATTAGACATCGCGTTCGAGGGTATCAAAGATTTATGACACTTGACAGCCACCGTAGAGACTCTGCTGGGTTTTGGGTTGTGCAATGATTTTTTTAGCTGGTTGCAATAAGGAACCCCAATCACTAGATAGTGCTGGATAATACACACTGTGCCTTTAACTTTTAGCTACTTTTTACTAAGTTTAGCTTTAAGTTACAATTTTGCTAGTTTCAATTCATTCATTCCTCAACACTTAACAGTCACACTACATTTTTACAGAAAATAGCCATTTCTCCAGTTTATATTACTTGTTGTACCTGGGGTTGTTTTCAGCCAATACTGCTCCATTTTTCCTCCAGGTGATGCGTGGTGGTGGCACTCCGCTAACGACGCATTCAAGAACTGCTGGCTTGTTAATATGGACTGACACAGTCTGGGAGTTGTCCTTGATAACTGGAAGCACTGAGGAAAGAGTTGTTTATATTTTTATATACTTCTTTTATTTACTAACTTTATTAACTAATAAGATGTCCAAATAATATTGCATAAACTCTATGAAAAGATGAATTTATCTCTGTTATATTCAGCAACTGTACCATTAACAGTCAGGTTAAACTGTCGTGTAGTCTTGCCAGCGATGTTGCTCGCCACACAGGTGTACTGAGCTCTGTCAGAGAGAACTGCCATGTTGATCTGTAAGTAGCGACCTTCAGACATGATACGCACACGGCCAGTCGTCTACACAAGGGACAAAAATGATTTCAAAATATAAACAAGGAGTTAATATTATGCTGATATTTAGGAATGTTTTTGATAGCTGACCTGCAGTAATTTGCCATCTTTGAGCCACGTCAGAGTTGGAGGCGGAACAGCATCAGATTTACACTCCAGAGTGACCTGCCTGTTCTGCAGGACTGAAACATCCTGAGGTGTGTTTTCTCCAACAATGTTGGGGGGAACTGAGAGAGGCATTGAGYGGAGAAACAAACTGATATGAACAGAATGATAGAAAAACAATATAAAGGAACTTCACATTGTGAAAATTTTGAGGAATTTCTGGACAACAAATGATAATTCTGTAAGATTTAACTTACCTTTTTCTATCCATCCATCCATCCATCCATCCATCTATCCATCCATCCATCCATCCATCTATTTATCCATCCATTGATCCATCCATCCATCCATCCATCCATCCATCTATTTATCCATCCATTGATCCATCCATCCATCCATCCATCCATCCATCTATTTATCCATCCATTGATCCATCCATCCATCCATTCAATCATCCATCCATCCATCCATCCACACACCCATTCAATCATCCATCTATTTATCCATCCATCTATTCATCCATCGATCCATCCATTGTCCATCCATCCACCCACCCATCTACCCACCCATCCATCCATCCATCCATCCATCCATCTATTTATCCATCCATCCATCCATCCATCCATTCACACACACACATTCATCCATCCATCCATCCATGACACTATTTCATATTACTCACTGTGCACCCGAACCAAGAAATCCTTGTCATCGTCTCCTGCTGGGCTGTTGGCTATGCAGCTGTACCTGCCTGTGTTCTCCAGCTTAGTTTAAGAATAAATAAAAAGTTAATTTAACTTAAATGTGGTTCATTTTTGAAAAACTAAAAAGAGAGTTTAATAAATAGAATTTCAATATGAGGAGACTGACCTGGGTTGAGGCCACACGGAGCACCTCTCCTCCCCGGAGGAGGCGCAGCTCACTCGTCTCTTGGAGCGGGCGTCCGTCCTTCAGCCACGTCAGAGTGGGCGTCGGGATACCTGTAGCTTCACACTGAAGCTCCAGGACGTTATTAACCACCACAAATACTTCTTCTGGTAAACCAGAGCTCTTGATGCGTGGAGGGTCTGACAAAGATATAGTAGCTTTTAACTTCATGCACGAATCAAAAGGGGGAAGCTTAATCTGCTCTTAACTCACCCAGGACCTTCAGATTAAAATGACGACTGGCTTGACCAGCGTCATTGTAAGCCATACAGGTGTACCGTCCCGTGTTGTTAACCTGGGCTGAGCTGAACTGTAAGGTGGTGTTCATGTTGAGGAGATTGATGTGGTGGTCAGTGGCTAAAGTCACTCCATCTGTGAGCCAGGAGATGGTGGGGGTTGGGGTCCCATCAGCAATACACCGCAACAAGACCAAATGTCCTTTGACTACAGTTACTTCTTCTGTGGATTCTGCTCCATCCAGACTAGGAGGAACTGAAAAAAGGCAGTTCAAGAGTTCATTWCGTTTTGTTTTCAATTTGACTGGGAACGTTACAGCTATACTCACCATGCACCTGTAGATTATAATGTCTGTTGTCCACTCCTGCCCTGTTTGATGCAACACATGTGTAGCTTCCACTATCAGACACCTGGATCCGTGTAATCCTGGCAGATTTAAAAAAAAAACAACACATAATGTTAAATATTCAACCAGTTATTGTTTTAAATTTAAAAGATTTTTCCGATTAGGCACAAGTGTTACTAAAACCAAAGATTTAATCTCCTAAACTGTGAAAATTTCATTCTGGTCGTTTTATTTGCACTGTATGATCATTGCGGTGGTAAGATCTTGTAGTTCAGTAGAACATTTAGTAAAGAAACTACCATCCTCTTCACACTCACTGACCTACCGGAGCACCTGTCCTGCTGAGAGAAGTCGTACGTTGGAGGAGACTGGCAAAGGAAGGCCATTTCTCAGCCAGTTCAGCTGCGGCAGAGGAGATCCTGTAGCAGCACACTCTATACTGACAGAGCTGTCCAGAACTGCAGTCAACTCCTCAAAAGCCCCATTGTTGCCAAGTATGAGTGGGGGGACTGGGTAAATGGAGAATAAGGTGAAAAAAGTAAAAAAAAAAAAAAGCACTAGTCTGCTCAAGTCTGTACTGAATAATGCATGTAGTGTGCGTTTCAAAAATGATTTGCACTCACCATACACATTCAAATTAAATATTCGGTCCTCCTCTCCAGCTGCATTGGTGACCACACAAGTGTACTTCCCACTATGGGCAGGACCAGCCTGGGTCACAGTGAGTGTGTCACCATTTGGACTGACACTATGAGACCATCAAAAAGCATCAGAAAAACATTTGAAGCAGAAACAGCAAGTATTACCACTCTTCTACAGTTAGTAATGGTAAAGATCCAATACTGTCAGTTTCCAAATAATTGTGGGTCATCTATGTCCTTTTTATTCAGAAGCTACTTGATAAATGACCATGCCTTTAGTTTTTATAAAATTACACACACACACACACACACACACACACACACACACACACACACAC